CAGGAGTCAAAATTCCTCCTGCTATAAAATTGCAACATGATGTAACCCAACACCAGTTACCATGTTGACAGACGTGGTTCAGGTCATTGACCTTATTTGCTTTGAGAAGAAGAAACAGAGCAAAAACAATATGTTTTCCTTCTTTAAACATGATAATATAAACATATACCTATCAACAAACAAACACTGACTTTTTCTGGTCTAACTATGGATGTTACTATTTTGTATGAGACAACGTAAGGCTGAATAATGTATATTCACGTCATACTTTAGTGACCGTAATTACCTTAATTTTACAATTGCAAATTTATCATGTGTATCCAATTGACACTGTACCAGACATATCGGGTGGGTTAAAATTGATAGAGCAGCCCCCAAGCACTAGCAAGCCGAGAGGCATGAAAAACATTGACCCACCATTGCTGCAGCGACCTCTGTCTAAATTTAGAACTCGCGAAGCGACCTCTGAATGTTATCTGTTAAGCTGTATATAGTGCTTTATACGCACTATAATAGTCTATATTCTCTCTCAAAAGTTGACGTTCTGTGTAGCTTCTGGTGTAGATCTTTGGTCGCAACAGAAAGACGAAACAATCTTAAGTTTTGGAGGGAAGTGACTTACTGTGGTTCGTTGGTGAACCTCGGCACTTTGGGCTGCTTGAGGTTGTTCAAATGGCAGTACAGCACGTCGAAACAGAAGCAGCACATCTCGGTGCTAACCACCAGCCTCCTCCTCTCCTCTTCATTCATGGAGTATAGACTCGGCTTGTTGCCGCTGCTTTCACGTTGGATGTCCGTATGTTTGTTCTCATTGCAGACACTGCCGGCCATACTGTTGTACTATCTGTGTCTATTGGTATATTTACGTACTAGTGAACGTGTCCATACAATTGCTGCTAATTCCATTGGGGACATCTCGTTTTCCAACTTGGCTGGGTGTAAGGGCGATGATTCTTAGTTTTGGCTTTTAGCTTTATGGATTGCTGTGTTTTTGAATGTTAAATTATTCTACTTTCAATTTGTAAGTATACATTGCTGCCTTGTGTACTACTAGTATGCATTTATATTGGGCTCCATTGGATATATAAGCCAGTCAGCCAGGAGGAACAACCCAAAGAATAACATGTAATCGAAATTCCTTTATTTTTTCCAAAAACCTTTTGTACATACTTTCTGGTGCACTTATTTTCCGTCTGCATTACATCAGCTTAGTTAAGGATTTCTTGTCAATATTTGATCCTACTTCTTGAAAAAAATGACATTAAAGTGTTATGTAGAATTAATGCTTCTTAAACACTTACTAGTATGGTAAAGCGAAGTGTAGCACTGAATTTTATATTACAATTCTTTCATTATAATTCCCATGTTCTCTGTTATCAATATAGACATGGGCCATACTCTGCCTCAAATAAAGGCTGTGGATATTCAGAATGTTCACATAAATTGCAATGAATTCTTGGGTAACAATAGCATAAGTATGTGCATTAAAATCATGTATATGTAGGTATTATAAAATAGAAACATGTTCTACTGTTTGAAGCATCAAATTACTTTTAGAATAGAACTTCTATAAAATTAGTAAATAGTTACATGTACCACATGAGTACTCAATGTAGATGATATTTTACATTTTGTGTTTTAATTATAATATGTTCATGACTCGCTAATTGCCATTTCTTTATAATGGCAGACATTAATAGTCAGGAAATTGTCTGTAATCCTCTTTTAGCGGAGTGAAAACACTGTTCAGTATACAAACCAAGAAACAGCGATGGCCTATCGCCCAGCGTTACAAAGTGTTCAATAGGAACTCAGTCTAAGCTAAAGACTAGTACGACGACTAATTTCAGTAAGTTGCCTCTGTGGTCAAATTAGACGTGTCCATGCTAAGTTTTCTACCTTCAAGTCGTCGAATTTTAGAGAATCATCGGAGAACAGTGGCGGTGAGCGCTCGGCCATGGCCTAGGTACACCCTGTAACAGAAACAACAAAGTCGCCATCAGTGAAATGTGGATGTTCTGACTGCTTTAGTACCCGTAGCAATAATAGCTAAAACATTGGCAAATGCGTTACCTTTAAAACGCGAAAGAATGTCATCATTCTCAAATGACGTGTTTCGTTTAGATTAGTAGGAATTACCTGGAATAACTTGGCAAATGAATTTGCGAGGGAAATTGCAAGGTACGTCGTTCCAGGTGCCAATTGGTTGGTATAGAACGCAGTCTTCTTGGGTCTCCCGCTTGCGTGGTTCTTTTGGAGCCCACGCGGTGTACGGCCCAAGGACAGTGCCATCCGCCCACTTGAACCCTCGCTCGTTGCGCCGACCGAAGAGGCCGAGCCAGAATGCTTCAAGAGAGCCAGTGGCCTGCTGAAACAGGGACTTCAGGAAGGCGTTGGTCTCAGCGTCTCTTGGCATGGCGAGGACGCCGCCATCTTGACGGCAGGTAGTGCCCGCTCTGAAGAAGTCCGTACGAGTGAGGAATACCTTGTAGCAGATTCCACGCCGCTTCTGATAACCTTTAGGACAAGCTGAGGAAAAGAACTTGTATTTATGCTTATCTTCCACCACCTCTTTGTACAATAGAAATACAACACAAATACAACGATAAAAATAAGACAGCAAGCTGCGTTGATAGATCACCAATTAAACAGCCCATGACTAATATGGTATCGTTTATATTCTATATTAGGTCTTATTCTATACTTTTTGTACTTTTTTCAATACTATAGCTGTTCCCATACATTGTACCATGTGCAATTATCGTGCAATAAAGTTCTTCTGTTGTCTCTTTTCAAAGTTGTGCTTGGTTAAAGTAAACTTGATTCCACACCTCCAGTTGACTCGCACGACCCTTGTGGCCCAGTTGGTCCGGTTGCACCCTTCTGTCCGGGTGGTCCTTGAAGCCCTGAGGGCCCCGGCAACCCCTGAAGCCCCCTTGGTCCGATTTGGCCCTTTTGTCCCGGGCGTCCGGGTGGTCCTTGAAGCCCAGGGTACGTATACCCAGGGCCAACTGGCCCCCTGGCCCCCTTTCTCCACGA